AGGACCAACACCCGCTGGGAGCGCAGCGACTCCTCCGAGCCGCACGACATTACTCGTGCATCAGACACTCGCGGCAGGAACCCCCTCGTATTCCAAAGGACCAGGCAAAATGCATGGCGCCTCATCTGTCGGGACGTGAGAGCCAGAAGAGAGAGCTGGAAGCCAGACGACGACGACGACTACTACTACGACTACGACTACGACTACGACTACGACTACGACTACGACTACGACTACGACTACGACTACGACTACGACTACGACTACGACTACAACTACGACTACGACTACGACTACGACTACGACTACTACGACTACGACTACGACTACGACTACGACTACGACTACGACTACGACTACTACTACGACTACGACTACGACTACGACGACTACGACTACTACGACTACGACACGACTACGACTACGACTACGACTACTACTACTACTACCACCACCACCACCACCACCACCACCACCACCACCACCACGACGACGACGACGACGACGACGACGACGACGACGACGACGACGACGACGACGACGACGACGACTACTACTACTACTACTACTACTATGTGCGCGTCGCCCCATCCTGGGGCGACGCGCGCGCCGAGAACCCTGTTGCACAAGCTCCCCCCACGAGTTGTACATCAAGAACAACTGAACTGTCAAAAAACGTGGAGAAACCAACTTCGCTTAAAACGAAAAAACTTGCAGTGTTTCAGATGATATGCAAGAAAGCTTCTCTCTTGTATTCTGAACACGTTAAGAGCTCTACGAGGGTCCCGGCGGTAACCTGGTTGACGGTTTACCGCCGATTCCCCATACAAGCTCCCACCACGAGTTGTACATCAGGAACAACTGAACGAACATTAGAACCTGGAGGAGCGTAAACATGGAGAGGATGAGGAAGAACAAATAGCCACAAGAGAACATCGGGACAGAGTCGCTCGAAGATTCTAGGCCTGGTTCAAAACCTCGCGGCCCTCAACCATCTAGGCTTGGAGAAAGGACTCAGATAGTCCGCGTGGAGGAGAGCGAACACGAATGGGGAAGCGCCGACCCCCTGCACCCAAGGCGTCGCGGTCCGTGTCGCTGGCTTCGTTGGTATCGCATGCTGGAACCAGGTTCCACCGCCATCGCCCGGCTGCGAAAAGCTTCGCTATGTCGTGGTACCCGAAAAGATTCACAAGGAACAAACAAACAAACAAGGTCAACTTTCAGCCCAAACACCGTAGATCAGACGCCTTCGGCCGTAGCGCTCCCGAAAGACAGCGCCCCCCTCCCGGGCGTTGCCCGCAGCACCGAGCTCTGTACCGACCGTCCGTCGCGGTCGTCCAGGGAGAGTGGTGCCGCGGACACGGTGCAGGGTTTCGTTTGGAGCCCATGCTCGCCGAACCCCGGGAAGAGCTCCCCCGGTCCACGAGGCGTCACATGCGGCGCTTCGTGCTGGTCGACGAGAAGCCAGAACGTAAAAGTGCAGATCTTGGAGAAGAGGAAAGACGTGGGTTGTCCAAGCTCCGTGGCGGGCGCTTCTTGGCCACTCTTGCACCACCACTCGGGAAACGACACGCTGCGCTGCCTCGCGGGCTGCTGCCGCCCCGCCCGGCGGGTGCCACCCGCGGGCCTCTCCTCCCTGCCCCTCCGCCCCCTCTCGCCTTCTTCCCTCGCCCGCCTCGCGCCGCCGTGGCGCCGCCCCCCCCCCCCGTGTGCCGCCCCGGCGCGACGCCCAGCCCCTGCCGCGGCTGCGGTGCTTCGGGGGCGGCCAAGAGGGGGGTGACGACGAAGGGGGGGGATATCGTGGCGTGGGCCACGATATCTCCCCAGATTGCACGGCGCCTCTTCTTATTTCATGACGTCCCCGCACCCACCCACCCCCCCCCGGGCCACGCACATGCCGCCGGCCATGATTTGCGCCCCCCCCCCTCTTCGACGCCCCCCTCTTGGCCGCCCCCGACTGCTGGGGCAGCGGGCACCGCACGGTTGATGCACCGCGCTGGCTCTGCAGCGGAGACCCATGCCAAGAAACACCCTGCTGGCCTCCCTGGGTTTTTCCATGGTTTTGCCATGGAGAGCGTAGCGCCTCCGCACCTAAATCCATGGACGTCCTGGGGTCTCAGGGTTGGGTTTCTTGTGGAAGGTTTCTTGTGCACTGGCCTCCACTGTACTTGCTCTTCGCCGCCACTGCGCCTTGGCAGCGCCCGCGGGTGCGCCCTGGCCCCGGCCTGGGCTGCTGCCGCGGTCCCCGCTGCCCTGGCTGGCCGCTCCGGCCCGCTCACCGCGGAATTCTTCCACGTCTGAGCGCATCCCTCCTTCTCCCACCGCGCGGCCGCTTCCTCTTCTTTTCTTCGCTCTCGTGCAGGCCGGACAATTTGCCGATCGGTGCCCCCGACTAGCCCCACGCTGGTGCGGATCGCCTTGGCCTCGTCGCCGACGAAAAAACAGTTCGGGTCGGACGCGCGCCTCCGAGGAGGAAACGTAGTACTAGTATGTCCTCGTGCGTCCCGTGGGCCATATGTGCGCTCCGGCTCGGCAGCTTTAGCGTTCTGCCGTGGTTTCGCGTCGCCCAGGTTCACTCAGGGCAGGCCTTGCGGATCGTGCCCTGGCGCCGGTACGCACGCATGCGTGGGTCACCCGCAGGGGCATGCAGGTGATCGCGCGGTCGCGGATGCGAGCCTGGGTTGAAGGGGCCCCAGGACACACAAATAAACACACAAAAATAAAAAGATTCCCCATATCTCCCCATATTTTCTGGGTGTTTGTCTTCCCCCCCACTTCCCATATTTTCCAGTATTTTCTGGGGAATCGAGGATTAATTGTGTCTGTGTGATTCTTTTCCTCCTGATGGGTCTGCGGGGGGGCCCTCCGATGGGACGAAGACGCGCTGAACCGGCGGCGCACGGGCACCACCGCTCGGGCCACGCTCCGGCACGCTGGCGCTCGCGAGGCACCCCCGCAGGGCGTCGCGCCCTCCGCTTGCGAGCCACGCCTGCGCAGCAGTGATGCTCGCAAAGGGTAGTAGGTCGGCGGCGAGCCCGGGGGGCAGGAGAAGGGGCGGGCCTTCTCCGACGGCTCGGAGGTCCCCCGGCCATCTGCGAAGTCTTCTGAGCCTGCCCCGAAGACACAGAAACGACTTTCTCGGAAGGCGCGAGGGCTCCTGAGAAGCCCCGCCGCCTTCTGAGAGGGCCGCCTCCTTCTCATCTCCTCCCCTCGCTCACCGCCGAGCAGGGCGACGAAATCTATACTTGTCCACCGCTGCTGGCCAGACCAATACTGGGCCGCGGAGCGGTGGATATGGGAGGAGGAGGAGGAGGAGGAGGAGAAGGAGGAGGAGGAGGGGGAGGAGGAGGGGAAGGAGGATAAGGAGGAGGAGGAGGAGGAGGAGGAGGAGGAGAATAAGGAGGAGGAGGAGGAGGAGGACGAGGTCGTCGCCCTAGAGGGCCGCATCCCGCCGCTGCACAGAGGTGAGGCGGCAGGGGTGCCCGCTGCCGCCTAGCTGGCCCTGCGGCGACAGGCCGGGCAGCTTCTCGCCTGGCACAGCAGCAGCGCCAGCGCCGACGAGTAGCCGCAGGACCAACTGAGCGACGACGCCGCCGATGCAGCGACGACGTCGCCGATGCCTCGCGGATGCATCGGCGATGCATCGGCGATGCATCGGCGGTGCGGCCCGATCCTCCGATCCCACTCTGCTCGGACCCCCATGTGGGCGACGAGGGGAGACGGGCCTCACGCGAGCTGGCACAGCGGCCTTGCGCGGTGGCTTACGCGGGCCGCCAGCGCGGCACGGCACGTTGGAACCGAGGGCGCTTACGCGCGCGTGCAGCTTACGCGCAAATGTCGGCGCAGCCGACCCCGCTCTTTTGCGTCGTTGAACTGAGCAACAAAGCAATATCATTCTTTTGGTCGGGGATCTTCTGACCCGGGTCAACCCAGACCCGGGTCAGTCAGGGCTAAACATAACCGAAAATAGCCAAAATATTTTCAGCGAGAAATGAGAAATACCCAAAAGAATTCAAAAATAGCCAAAAAATATCGGAAGATCGTCCCCAGACTACTTGTTTTTAACTATTTCTGAATATTCCTCCTGTAGAGGGATAGGCCCGACTTAACAGTAGATGGGATCGGAGGAGCGCGCCGCATCGCCAACGCACTCGGCGACATCTGGAAAAAGAAGAACGACGCCATACACATCATATAAACTTTTGGCGCTCCACGCGGAGTTTTTGGATCTGCGCTGGGCCCCCCTCCCTGGCGCGCGGAGCTCGCCAGGGGCGGCGCCGGAGGCGCCCCGCTGGGGGCGCGGAGCGCCACGAACTTCTGTTTATGGCGGTGTTTTTTCCTTCTTCAAGACACCGGCGATGCATCGGCGACATCGGCGACGTCGGCGCGAACAAGACGGGGCTCCACATCGAGCCGCATCGCCGATGCATCGGCGATGCAGCGCGATCCTCCGACCCCATCGACTCTGACTCCCTCTGTTTGGACGCCCGACATGAGCATAGAGAACACGACAACGATGCTCAATCATAAATGCTGTCCAAAACCAACAGCGGCCGCTATTGTGCAGGCGACTTCCGGTCTCAAATGAACCACGTCCGCGGCGACACGGACAGCGAATCCGATCAAAAAATAGGCAGGAAATGCGGGTCTTTGCACCAATTCTTTCCATGCGCATTGCGATCGTGCCGAGTCTGGGAGGCCTGGAGATCGAAGATCGCGGCGGCGGCAACGACGAATACGATTAGAAGAGCAAAAAAAACATAAACATAAACTTTTGGAGGTCCGCCCGGTTTTTCCCAACCATCCTGTGGTGTTGGGTCCTCGTTTTGAAGAGACAGCGCCCCGCGTCTACTCCTCCTCCCGCTGCCCCCTTCCTCCTCTTCATCCCTGCGTTTCACCCACCGCTTCGTGGCCCCATAGGGAGCTCCACCGAAGGCCCCACTGGCAGGGTTCGCATGGCGGCCTCGGGCCATTTCGGCACACCCCTCACGAAGATCGTG